CCATAGAGATGGATACCTTACATGGAGTCAACTTCATGTTCACCAATAACATAGAATTTATAATAGCCATGGTTTTTATATGCACATATGATGCCTTCTACATGTCCGTCGCCAGTATCTGTGGAGTAGTCCTCACCATGAGCATCAGGGATCAGGGAAAGTCGACGCAGTCTGCTCAGTTTTTAGCCAATCAGCGGAGAATTACTGTTGGCATCATTTACTACGTGAGGAGGAAAGTGCAGTGAAAATCTGAAGTTCTGATTCAGGGAGCTGTCGAGTTAGTCGGGGTGGGTGTTCCTGTTGTGATTCTCGCTGCTTGCTCCTTTCTCCATATTGGAAATTACAGTACGGTTTCACGGTCAGTGTATGATACAATCCCTGTTTTCAGTCGTCGCCCACTTTTTTATGTTCATATTATGCATTTATCCAATATCTGGTCCTTACTATATATTGATGTCAAACCCAGACTACAACAAGAGAGTGAACGAGATCAGGGAGAATTTCTGCTCTGATCTCTGTTCCTCACGTTGCAGTTGTTCATCAATCGTACAAAGTTTCCTAAAAAGTGTTTTTCAGATCAAAAGGTGACGTCAGTTTCTCGTGTTCTGTTTGGAAGTAGAACTTCGTAGTCACAGTATGATCTGAGCAAGGTCCTGCTTCCCAAATGGAGAGAAAATCTGCTCTGGACCAGTCTTCCTGTCTGATATAATTCAACGTCATACGCTTTATGAAATATTGTGAATGAAGAAGGTGATTGAAACTATAAAGATCTTTTCCTTTCATTTGTTGTTGCTTTCACATGAACGAAGCTTATGTCTCAAAGTCATCTTCACACAACACTAGGCATAGCCAAGAGATAAGCTCATGACATCTGTCTAAGTATATCCGGAGTAGCTGAGAACTTATTTTCTCTGGATCCTTGAAATGTGATGGATGACTTCTGAGCAGATTATAATATTGAGGATGCAAGCCTACTGAACGGTTATGGAGGAGTGCAATCGTTTTGGACGATTTGGGTTGGAATGCAACCTCTCGGTGCGTTTCAGGTAAGACCGGGACTTGTCCAGGTCTCATCTCCGGCTTGTGAGCGGATGAGCTTTTTCTCCTCTCTGAAGAACCTCCAGAGAGAGAGGAGTAGAGCTCACCGGCTCACACCGCCAACTAACCTGATTGAGAAGCCTCACGGCTTATATACCCCCGTGGAAACGCGTCACGTGGAAATAATTTTTA